TTTATCTCCTCTATTGTGTTTTTCATCTCTACGATTTCTGATTTTTTTTTTAATAGTTTCAGTCTCTTTTGTGAAGAAACTCCTGATTTCATTGAATCGTCTGTCTGTATTTTCTTGTATTTCATTAAGCTTTTTTATGATGGCTATTTTGAATTCTCTGTCATTAAGGTTATACATTTCTGTGCTTTCCGGGTTGACTTCTGGTTGCTTGTCATTTTTCTTTTGGTCTGGAGATTTAATATAGTTTTGCATAGCACTTGTTGGTGTTGGCTTACTTTTCCTCATATTGAAAATATATGGTCGTAGTTTCCTCTTGCTGCCGCTGGGTGGGAGTCAAGGGCTGTGTATTCTGGCCCACCTCAGTCTGAGGGCACTCTCGTCGGCCCCTGGCTGATCTGAGGTGTGGCTGAGTGGAGGCTGCTGGGGGTAAGTCTGGGAACAGCTGGAGCTGGAGTGTGGGAACAGCTGGGACTGGAGCGCCGCTGGGCCAAAGCAGCTGGGGCTCGTGTGTGGGTGGGTTGAAACAGCTGCTGCTGGAGTGCTGCTGGGCCAAAGAAGCTTGAAGTGGAGTGCGGCTGGGCTGAAGTTGCTGGCACCAAGTCAGCTGGAGCCTGAGCACAGGCCAAGCTGAAGCAGCTGGAGCTGTGGTGCGGGGGGAGGTCAAGCTGAAGGAGCTGGGGCTGGGTCATGGTCCAGCTGAAGGAGCTGGGGCTGTGGCACGGTGGAGCCGGGCAAGCTGAGGCCGTGGCTTGGTCTAGCCAGAGCAGCTGGGGGCTGTGGTGCAGTGGGGCCTGAGCTGCTGGTCGGGCTCAGGCGCCTGGGGGCTGCTGCCTGTGGGGTCAGGGCGCGATCACGCTGCCCCTGCTGTTGGGGCCCAGGCGCCTGGGGGCCGCTACCTCTGGGGACGGAGCTGAGCTGATGTGCCGCTGTGCTGAAGTGCTAGTTGGGCGGGCCGGGTAGGGGAGGGGCGCTTACATTTGCCTCCCCGATCTCAGAGGTTTCTCACCTCGCCGTCACTCTCTGCTCTCCTGAGGGGCTAGCTTCTTGAAAGTAGCCTCGCAACAGTTCCACTCCCTCCATAGGGGAATCCCCACGGGTTGTGAGGGGTCTTGGAGAGTGCCGGTTTTCACACAGTGAGCCGACCGTCTTCCCCGTCTGAGAGCCGCGTGGTCTCAGTCCTTGGGGAAGGAAGGGAGCTCCTCTTACCTCCTTCCACTTACTCGGGATTCCAGCACCTCAGTCCTTGGGTGTACGGCTGCCTGGGTGCCTCAGACGTCCCCTGTGTTGTGTGAATAACTTCTGTTGAAATATGAATGTCCTTTTTTTTTTGAGGAAGATCGTCCCTGAGCTAACATCCATGCCAATCCTCCTCTTTTTGCTGAGGAAGACTGACCCTGGGCTAACGTCGGTGCCCATCTTCCTCCGCTTTGTATGGGATGCCGCCACAGCATGGCCTGACAAGCAGTGCCTCGGTGCATGCCCGGGATCCGAACCTGGGCTGCCAGCAGCGCAGTGCGTGCACTTAACTGCTATGCTACAGGGCCAGCCCCTGAATGTCCTTTATGTTGTGTCTTAGAGGGGAGAGTTCAATGGGGAAAGCTCACTCCGCCATGATGCTGATGTCAGTGTGTTTTAGTTTTTTGTACAGTCAACTATGTCAGGAATACACACACACACGTACATATATATATATATATGTGGTTTTTTTTCAAAGTTAAATACGTATGCATTAGGTGTATACAATTTTTTAAGGAAAACTGCAATTTCCAGCTCCCCCTCCCTTCCATTCTCCTTTCAGATGTAACATCTTTTAACCAGTGGCCCTCAGCCAGGGCCGTTTTGCCTCCCAGGGAACATCTGGCAATGTCTGGAGACTCGTTTGATTGTCACAACTGGATGGGAGGGAAGACTGCTACAGACATCTCATGTATGGAGGCCGGGGATGCTGCTCAACGTCCTACAATGCCTGGGCTAGCCCCCTACAAAAAATGCCAGTAGTGCTGAGGTTGAGAAATCTTGCTTTTACCTGACTCTCTTAATATTTACCTCCACATCTTTAAGTAACTTGCTTCTTAATTTTTCAGTTTTGGGTATTATCTAATAACTTATCTCTATGAAAGATAAAGATTTAGCTCGTTGCCTTTCTCATTCTCCCATCCTCTCAACGTAGGTGTGTTGCAGTTGTGGAAACTTATTGTTCAGATTTCTCATTTTTATGATTGACTGTGGTTCGTTCAAAGCTATTCAGTACTGAGCTTTGTGATGAACTGATTACTCGTCCTTCATACCTTTTTGTTTTCCTTGGAGTTCATAATTTTCCTTTTTTTTTTTCTTTGTTTATCATGTGCTTTGTAATTCAGTGCCTGCAAATTCTCTGTCACTTGTCTAAATCTCCTTTCCAGTCTTCATTCACATCCATTATTCTCTTAACTTCATCTTTCTGAAAAAGGAGCTCCTGGAGCCTTTGACTTACTCCAGTCCAGACTGTGTTGCCTTCTGTGCCTGGTGTACATTTATTATCTTGGGATTTCCCTTCACTCTTATCCTGGGAATTCCCTTTGTCTTTTTTCTGTGTGGATCTGTTTCCTTCTCCTCTATCTTCATTCTTTGTTCCTAGTATTCTGAAATTCCACTGTGATATTTCTTGGTGTGGATTTATTTCCTCCATTGTGCTGAGCACAAAGTCGACCTTTTTGATTCGGAAACTCATGTCCTTCAAACCAGGAAATTTTCAGTTTTCTTGAATTATTCCTGCTAATTAGTTAGGCTTCTCCATTTTATCTGGCCTCTTATCATCTGTCTTCTGGAGCTTTATTATTTGAATATTGGAACTCCTGGAGTGGTCCTCTTTCCTCTCTCATTTGCCATATCTTTTTCCTTTTGCTTTACTTTCTGTGGTATTTCCTCTACTTTTTCCACCAGTCCTTTTCTTGAGTTTTTAATTTCTGCAATGATGTATCAAAAAGCTGTTTTTGTTTTCTGAATGGTATTTTTAAATAGATCCTGTTTTTGTTTTTGTTTTCAAAAATGACTTCTCTTATATTTTTGAGAATATTAATGATAATTTGATTTATTCAGTGTTATTTTTTTATCTTTGTATATTCTCTGTTTCCTTCAGATTGTGTTTTTTTTTCCCCTATATTTTGATCTTGTTTTCATGTTAGTGGAGTTCCTCAGATGTCTGGTAATCCTTTTTCTCTCCCTTATATTTAAGAGTAGGGGAATAAAAAATGAGAATCTCTGACCATATTAGTAGGGCTAGTTGACTTTGAACTTCACAACTTCTCACTGAGCCACTCAGCTGGGGAACATCCCAAGTCCATATCTCTAAGTCTTTCCTCTTAAGGTGGTCAAATTCCCTAGAGAAAGCTCTTCTAGTCTGTTAATTAGAGGACTGGCTGCTAGCATTCTGGTGGCCAAGTGTGGAAGGAGAGCTTGAGGTCTCAATATCCAATAAGATGTGTTTCACTTAATTTTCCTATTTTCAGTATGGTATCTTCCCCCTCCTACCCACTGCCCCAAACCACAGATGTGCCTGGTGGTTCCCAGGTGGTGTTTTCTCTTTTATCCTTTCAGAAAATAAATCTTAATAAACCTAGCAGCATAGAGAAAGAGAAAGGATCTGAAGATGTGACTGCTCCTGAGTCAGACTTGCAACTCAGTTTTTAACTTCATTTTGAAATAATTTCAAACTTACAAAAAATGTTTCAAAAATAGTAGAAAGAGTTTCCATATACTCTTCATCAACTATGGACATCTTTTTAGAAATACAGCTTCCTGGGGCCAGCCTGGTGGTGTAGTGGTTAAGTTTGTATGCTCCGCTTCGGCAGCCTGGGGCTTGCGGGTTTGGATCCTGGGCGTGGACTTACACACCACTCATCAAGCCATGCTGTGGCAGCATCCCACATACAAAATAGAGGAAGATTGGCACAGATGTTAGCTCAGGAACAATCTTCTTCACCAAAAAAAAAAGAAAAGAAAAGAAAAGTAAAGAAATACAACTTCCCTGGGTCCTGCCCTCAGAGATTCTAACTAGATCAATCTGGGTTGAGACACAGGAATATATTATTGCAAAATGTCCTTAAATAACTGTAATGTGCATCCAGGTTTAGGAGGCACTTTCTTAGAGTTTATAAAGATTAGGAAAGCATTCATTTATTCATTCAATAAAAAATTATTGAGCAGTTATCTGTAGTAGACATTGTGCTGGACACTAGAGACAGAGATGAATAAATCAGGGTCTCTGTCCTAAAGTTGCTTATTATTAAATAGGTACAACAGAGGTAAAGACAGAGAATTATGATTTAATAGGATAAATGCTGTATTAGAGTGACACAGATTAAGGGAATAGTTTCCTTTTGCTGGGAGAATTAGGAACAGCTTTATGTCCAAGGTAAAAATTTGAGCCAGGACTTGAAACCTTAGCAGGAGTTTCCCAAGTGAAAAAGTATGTTCTAGGAAGAAAGGGAAGCATCCATAAAAGCAAAGAGTTATGAAAGATTATGGCATATTCAAGGGGTGGTAAGAAGACTATCTAGTATGGGGTTTGTGGTAGGCAGTGAGGGAAGTGAGGTTGGAGAGGTAGGTTGAGGGTGGATTTTAAAGGACCTTGTATGCCATGATTAGTTTGGATTTTATCATGCAGTCAGTAGGAACAGTGTGGATTAATGTAGATAGGGGAGTCATCTGTTCAAGCATGATGGTTTATTTTTTGAGGAAGAAAATACAGATGGCAGTAAGGGATATGACCTTTAATAAGGAATTCAAGGTTCCTTCCATAATTAAAATTCTGTGATGCTAAACGTCCTCTGTCTCCAAACTCATTAATAAGGAGCCTGGAAACAGGGAAATAATTAAGGAAGATATTACAGTAATCTGATTGAGAAATCATGAAGGTTAATAGTAAGGTATTGTTGTTACAACCAGCCAACGAAGAAATAATTTACTAGTCTCTGGTAGAAATAATTGTAATCCTTTTCTCTCGTTTTTGTTTTTTCTAGGTTTGAAGTCCTGAGTTTTCTCATGTTGTGTTATAATTCTGCTATTGTGTATATGCCTGCTTCCTCTTACCAGTCTCTTTGTCGGATGGGCTCCCGGTGAGAAGAATAATTATCATTAACTTTCATATTTATTTATTTGACAGTTGTTTTTTGAGCACATTCTCTATGGTAGGATCTGTTCTAACTTCTGGTGGTATAGCAGTAAACAGAACTTAGGGAGCTTTCATTCCTGTAGGAATCCTTATCATCCCTCATGCATCATGACTTCTAGAAAATATTTCAGCATTACAGTGTTTTCTGGGGCTGGCCTGGTGACCTAGTGGTTAAGTTCATGTGCTCTGCTTCGCAGCCCGGGGTTCACAGGTTCAGATCCCGGGCGCAGACCTACACACCGCTCATTAAGCCATGCTGTGGTGGCATCCCACATACAAAATAGAGGAAGATTGGCACAGATGTTAGTTCAGGGCCAATCTTCCTCACCAGAAAAAAAAAAGAAGAAGAAGAAGTATTTTCTAGCTGAACATCAAGTTAAGCCAAGATTCTTAAGTTTAGGGTGGTTTAGTGATATACCTAATCACTGCCTAGATGCTAATTTTTATAAATCACTTGAAGAGCTTTGAATAAATAGACATATGTAGAGAAAGTCTTAAGAAATGTGAACCTTTTTCTGAATATATTTCACAAATAACTATCTCTGCTTTGGATAAGATTAGCAATAGCACCAGTTATCTGTATGTGTCGTTTGTATCTGTGTGTTCAAATCTTTTTTTTTTTTTTTTGTGAGGAAGATCAGCCCTGAGCTAACATCCGTGCTAATCCTCCTCTTTTTGCTGAGGAAGACCGGCTCTGAGCTAACATCTATTGCCAATCTTCCTCCTTTTTTTCCTCCCCAAAGCCCCAGTAGATAGTTGTATGTCACAGTTGCACATCCTTATAGTTGCTGTATGTGGGACGCGGCCTCAGCGTGGCGGGAGAAGCAGTACGTCGGTGCGTGCCTGGGGTCCGAACCCGGGCCACCAGTAGCCGGGTGCGTGCACTTAACTGCTAAGCCACGGGGCCGGCCCTGAAATCTTTTTTTTTAAAGATTTTATTTATTTATTTTTTTTCCCCTAAAGCCCCAGTAGATAGTTGTATGTCATAGCTGCACATCCTTCTAGTTGCTGTATGTGGGACACGGCCTCAGCATGGCCGGAGAAGCGGCGTGTCGGTGCGCGCCCGGGATCCGAACCCAGGCCGCCAGCAGCGGAGCGCACGCACTTAACCGCTAAGCCACAGGGCCGGCCCAGGCCCTCAAATCTTTACTAAATCAGAATTTCTAATAATTTGGACAGATCTGAGCTGAAATTTAAATTTCCACTACAGAAAAAAAATTTAAGTAATATAAATGCTTGGAGACAGAGGACGTTTAGCATCACAGAATTTCAATTATGGAAGGAATGCTGAGTTCCTCCTGTCCAACTGATTTTTACTTGAGGAAACTGAGCCCCAAAAAGAGATTAAATGCTATATTAGTTTTCTGTCACCTCATAACAAATTACCGCGAACTTAGCAGCTTAAAACAGCACACGTTTATTATTTCACAGTTTTTGTGGGTCAGGAGTCTGGGCATGACTTAGCTGGGTCCTCTGCTTAGGGTTTTACAAAGCTAGAGTTAAGATGTTGGCTGGAGTTGCAGTCTTATCTGAGGCTTCATTGAGGAATTATACATGTTTGTTGGCAGAATTCAGTTCCTGTAGTTGTAGGACTGAAGGCTTCAATTTCTTATTGGCTGTCTGCTGAAGGCCAGTCTCAGTTCCTTGCCACGTGGGCCTCCCAACATAGGCAGCCTACAACATGGCAGCTTGCTTCTTCAAAGCAGAGAAGGGGTGACAGAGAGACTCCAGCAAGACCTCCACTACAATCTTATATAACATAATCACATATTCATGTACATGGAATCGTGGAAATCTCATCACTTTTGCCCACCCACACTCACAAGGAGGGGATGAGACAGGGCGTGAGTACCAGGAAGGAGGGGCCATAGGGATCATGGTCCCCCAAGGGTCTGTCCACCACAATGCTCTCCTCAAGTTCATGCTGTTGTGTTACTGGGAATAGAAAGTGGTCCTGTTTATAACTCAATTTTCCTAATTGGGGGAAAGCCAATCTAAATTAGCTGCAAGTTTGATTTTATAGATTATCTTAAAATAAGTATATTATTTTCACTTGCCTGTGATAACACAATTAATGACTAACAAAACACAATTAATGACTAACAAAATTCTTGTCTCCAACCCAGTTACTATTATCAAGAGAGTACATTGTTTTAGCACTTATTGCCTATCTACAGATAAATTTATTTATTTATTTTATTATTTTTGTGTGTGTGTGAGGAAGATCAGCCCTGAGCTAACATCCATGCCAATCCTCCTCTTTTTGCTGAGGAAGACTGGCCGTGAGCTAACATCCGTGTCCATCTTCCTCCACTTTATGTGGGACGCCCCCACAATATGGCCTGACAAGTGGTGCGTTGGTGCGCGCCCAGGATCAGCTCCAATGCTGGCCCGGGTCACCAGCATTGGAGCGCACGCACTTAACCGCTACGCCACGGGGCTGGCCCAGATAAATTTATTTATAAGTGACTATTATTGATCCATTAAAGCACATCTGCTGAATCTCTAATTGGCAACATTATTGTGACATTCAATAGCTTCTTAATAACATAAGTGATGACAAACTTTGATAGTCCTCCAACTCTTGTTCACATGTCCCCTAAAGACTTTTGAGAAGCTATGTGGCTGTTACACGTTTAAGTTAATATTTAAATTTTCTATCCTATCTTAAATAATTGCAAATGATATGATTTCCAGTACATAAATATTGACATAATAAAACAAGTAATTGTTGGGTCAATATTTTAAATGTATATAACGTAAATACCATAGTGATCTGATACCCACCATCTGCCATTTGAGGAATAAATGAACAAGCTTTTCTTTAATAGTCTAACATTATTTTATTCCTTTTTCTTCTTGAATTTGTTTTTTGTTTTTTGTGTTTTTTTTGTGAGGAAGATCAGCCCTGACCTAACATCTGTGCTAATCCTCCTCTTTTTGCTGAGGAAGACCAGCTCTGAGCTAGCATCTATTGCCAATCCTCCTCCTTTTTTTTTTCCCCCCAAAGCCCCAGGAGATAGTTGTATGTCATAGCTGCACATCCTTCTAGTTGCTGTATGTACTAGAAGCGGCCGGAGAAGCGGTGCGCCGGTGGGCGCCCAGGATCCGAACCCGGACCGCCAGTAGCGGAGCGTGCGCACTTAACCGCTAAGCCATGGGGCCGGCCCTTCTTGAATTTGAATTTCCAGTCTACTTTACCCACATAATTTTATCCTAATATCATGCCATTTTGTACTTGCAGGTCTTTTATTCATCACCTGATTATACATATCTGCTACAAAAAATATATATATATAAATTGAAATTTTTTAAAAATTTCCTGAGATCGTAATACATTAAACACTGAAAAATTTCTTCTGGACTCACTTACCATTACAATTATTCTAACAAATTAATTGATTAAAATAATATAGGTACATTACAACTTTTGTTAATTATTAAGCATAACTTTTCTGGAAGCATCTCTTAATGAGATGGAAGATAGAGGATTGTTTATGGTCCTTTGATTAAAAATAGCCTCACAGGCTCCGCTTGTCAGGCCATGCTGTGGCGGCGTCCCATATAAAGTGGAGGAAGATGGGCATGGATGTTAGCCCAGGGCCAGTCTTCCTCAGCAAAAATAGAAGGATTGACATGGATGTTAGCTTAGAGCTGATCTTCCTCACAAAAATAAAAAATAAAAAAAAAACAGCCTCACAGTCATCAGCATTTTGAAATGTTCCTTTATTTGTTTTGTGATTTCTGTATCTCCTACTAATTCATCCTGATACAATTTGGGATGTGTGAAGTTACACATTTCTTTTGTGAAGAGGGAGAAGGATGATTATGAGAGAGACAGCTATTTGAGAAAAGTTGTCGCTTTGTTGGTATAGTCCTTCAGAATGTATGCTTTTTGGGGGCACAAATTTTATTATCTGTTTGCCTGTTCGTAGCTGTATGCCTAGGCCCAAGACAGTGACTGGCACATAGTCACTATTTGAGGAATTTGAATAAATAAATACTTGAGGAATGAATAATTGAATAAACAAATATATGAAATCAAAAATATTTAATGAATGAGGAAATCACATATGATAAATACTGTATTTTCCTAGGGTTTGTGTAAGTGGGTTTCCACGGCAACACGAAAAACACTGGAAAGAACTCTGTGGTCGAATAGTATTGGATCCCGAATTTATGGTGCAACTTCTCACCGGGGTTTATTATGCCATGTAAGTAGGTGGACTGTGAAATTGGGTGAATTCTTCTTAATGTTTGGAAATTTAATATTTCTCTTACTCTCTTTTTTTCTCTTATCAGTTGCACAACACTGAATCTTTTGTTCTGTGATGGACCCATTATCTTGTTTTTCTAATAGTAATTTCTTTTAATACTTCTTTTAATGAATAATACACTTTTTATTTGAAAGCAATATAACAAAGATAACTTTTTAATTGAGATATAATTGATGTGTAAGATTGTATTAGTTTTAGATGTACAACATGATTAGATATGTTTTATATTGTGAAATGATTAACACAGTAAGTTTAGTTAACGTGCATCACCTCACATAGCTACATATTTTTTTCTTATGATGAGAACTTTTAAGATCTGGTCTCTTAGCAACTTTCAAATATACAATTCAGTATTATTAACTATAGTCACCATGCTGTACATTACATACACAGGACATATTTATCTTGCAACAGGAAGTTTATACCTTTTGACTACATTCATCCTTTTTCTCCACCCATTGCCTATGGCAACCACCAATCTGTTTTCCATATCTATGAGTTTGGTTTTTTTTTTTTTTAGATTTCACATGTAAGTGAGATTTTACCATATTTGTCTTCCTTTCTCTGATTTATTTCACTTAGCATAATGCCCTCAAGGTCCATCTGTGTTGTTGCAAATGGGCAATATTTCCTTCTTTTTTTATAATTGAATAATATTCCATTGTATATATATGCCATATTTTCTTTATCCATTCATTTGTCAGTGTACACTTAAATTGTTTCTATGTCTTGGCTATTGTAAATAATGCTTTAATAAACATGAAGGTGCAGATACCTTTTGAGATAGTGATTCCATTTCCTTCAGATATATACCAGAAGTGGAATTGCTGGATCATATGGTAGTCTAGTTTTAATTTTTTGAGGAATCTCCGTACTGTTTTCCACAGTGGCTGCACCAAATTACATTCCCACCAATAGTGTACAGCATTCTCTTTTCTTCACATCCTTGCCATAATATTGTTATTTCTTGTCTTTTTCATAATAGTCATTCTAAGAGATGGTATCTCCTTGTGGTTTTGATTTGCATTTCCCTGATGATTAGTGCTGTTGAGCATCTTTTCATGTACCTGTCGGCCGTTGGTATGTCTTCTCTGGGAAAAAGTCTGTTCAGATCCTCTGCTCATTTTAAATAGTTTATTTTTTTTTTATATTGACTTGTGTGAGTTCTTTATATATTTTGGATGTTAACCCCTTATCAAATATATAATTTGCAAATATTTTCTCCCATTCAATAGGTTGCCTTTTCATTTTGTTGATGGTTTCCTTTGCTGTGCAGAAACTTTTTTGTTTGTTTGTTTCCGCTGTGCGCCTGGGATCCAAATCTGGACCGCCAGCAGCAGAACGTGCACACTTAACCTCTACACCACGAGGCCGGGCCAGAAACTTTTTAGTTTGATGTAGTCTCACTTGTTTATTTTGCTTTTGGTGTCAAATCCAAAAAATCATCACCAAGACTGATGTCAAGGAGCTTACCTCCTATGTTTTCTTTTAGGAGTTTCATGGTTTCAGGTTTTAGATTAAAATCTTTAATCCATTTTGAGTTTAATTTTGTATATGGTGTAAGATAAGTGGTCCAATTTCATTCTTTTGCATGTGGCTGTCCAGTTTTCCCAACACCATTTATTGAAGAGACTATCCTTTCTCTATTGTATATTTTTGACTCTTTTATTGTAAATTAATTGACCATATATGCATGGGTTTATTTCTCAGCTCTCTATTCTGTTGCATTGATCTGTGTATTTTATGCCAATACCGTACTGTTTTAATTACTATGGCTTTGTAATATAGTTTGAAATCAAGAAGTGTGATGCCTCCAGCTTTATCCTTCTTTCTCAAGATTGTTTTGGCTATTCATGGTCTTTTGTGGTTCCATACAAATTTTAGGATTGTTTGTTCTATTTCTGTGAAAAATATTACCAGAATTTTTATAGGAATTGCATTGAATGTGTAGGTAGCTTTGGGTAGCATGGACATTTTTAGTAATATTAATTCTTCTAATCCATGAGCGCAGAATATTTTTCCGTTTATTTGTATGTTCTTCAATTTCTTTTGTCAGTGTCTTATATGAAAACTATTAGTGTGCAGTGTACAGGTCTTTCACCTCCTTGGTCAAATTGATTCCTAGGTATTTTTTTTTTTGCAATTATAAATGGGATTGTTTTCTTAATTCTCTCTCTGATAGTTCATTATTAGGCATATAGAAATGCAACAGATTTTTGCATACAGTCATGCATCATTTAACCGTGGGGATATGTTCTGAGAAATGCATCATTAGGCAATTTTGTTTTTGTGTGAATGTCATAGAGTGTACATACACAAACCTAGATGGTATAGACTAAAAGCTATACTTTTTTTGTGTGTGTGTGAGGAAGATCAGCCCTGTGCTAACATCTGCCAATCCTCTTCTTTTTTTGCTGAGGAAGACTGGCCCTGGGCTAACATCTGTACCCATCTTCCTCCACTTTATATGGGATGCCGCCACAGCAAGGCTTGCCAAGCGGTGCGTCCGTGCACACCTGGGATGCGAACTGGCGAACCCCAGGACACCGCAATGGAGCACACGCACTTAACCGCTTGCGCTGTGGGGCCAGCCCCAAAGCTATACTTTTATACAACTGGCAGTGCAGTAGGTTTGTTTACATCAGCATCACCACAAACACATGAGTAATATGTTGCACTACGGTGTCGTGACAGCTACCGTGTCACTAGGTGATAGTAATTTTTCAGCTCCATTATAGTCTTATGGGACCACATTGTATAGGCGGTTTGTTGTTGACTGAAACATTGTTATGTGGTGCATGACTGTGTCAATTTTGTATCCTGCAACTTTACTGAATTTATTAGTTCTAACAGTTTCTTGGCGGAGTCTTTAGGGTTTTTTATGTGTGTATGTATGTTTGTGAGGAAGACTAGCCCTGAGCTAACATCCAGTGCCACTCCTCCTCTTTTTTTGCTGAGGAAGATTGGCTCTAGGCTAACATCCGTGCCCATCTTCCTCTACTTTATATGGGACGCCACCACAGCATGGCTTGACAAGCGGTGCGTCGGTGCGTGCCCAGGATCTGCACTTAACCGCTGCGCCACCAGGCCGGCCCCTAGGGTTTTTTATATATAATATCATGTCATCTGCAAATAGAGACAGTTTTACCTCTTCCTTTCTGATTTAGATGCCTTTTATTTCTTTTTCTTGCCTGATTGCTCTGGCTAGAACCTCCATTACTATGTTGAATAAAAGTGATGAGAGCAGACATCCTTGTCTTGTTCCTGATCTTAGAGGAAAAGCTTTCAGTTTTTCACTGTTGAGTATGATGATAGCTATGGATTTGTCGTATATGGCCCTTATTATCTTGAGGTATGGCCCCTCTGTATCCACTTTGTTGAGAGTTTTTATCATGAATGGATGTTGAATTTTGTCAAATGCTTTTTTTGCATTTATTGAGATGATCATATGATTTTTATCCTTCATTTTGTTAATATGGTATATCATGTTGACTGAATTGCAGATATTGAACCATCTTTGCATCCCAGTGGTAAACCCTGCTTGATCATGGTGTGTGATCCTTTTAATGTATTACTGAATTTGATTTGCTAATATTTTGTTGAGGATTTTTGTATAATTTCTCACAGGGATATTGACCTGTAATTTGCTTTTCTTGTAATGTCCTTTTCTGGTTTTGGTATCAGGGTAATGCTGGCTTTGTAAAATGAGTATGGAAGTGTTCCCTCCTCTTCTGTTTTTCAGAAGTGTTTGAGAAGGGTTGGTATTAATTCTGCTTTAAATGTTTGGCAGAATTCACCTGTGAAGCCATCTGGTCCTGGACTTTTGTTTGTTGGGAGAGTTTTGTTTTGTTTTGTTTTTAATTTTATTTATTTATTTATTTTTCCACCAAAGCCCCAGTAGATAGTTGTATGTCATAGCTGCACATCCTTCTAGTTGCTGTATGTGGGACGCGGCCTCAGCATGGCCAGACAAGCAGTGCATCGGTGTGCGCCCGGGATCCGAACCCGGGCCTCCAATAGCACAACGCACGCACTTAACTGCTAAGCCATGGGACCGGCCCTGTTGGGAGAGTTTTGATTACTCATTGAATCTCTGTACTATTGGTCAGTTCAGATTTTCTATTTCTTCATGATTCTGTCTTGGTAGGTTGTATGTTTCTAGGAATTTATCCATTTTTTCTAGGTTGTCCAATTTGTCAGTACATAATTGTTCAGAGTACTTTTAGTACTTTTAAAATAGCCAAAATATAACATAACTAGTCATTAAATTAGAGTCTAGAAATTGCCAGGTTTTCTTTATGGAAAACTGTGTCTCTTTGCATAGTTAATAACCCAGGTTTTCATGAATAGATTACCCTAAATATAAACACATGATAAAAACCAATTTATGTGAAAAGACATCTATAAACTATTATAAATGTTAGTGTTTGAAATCTTCATTTTGTTCTTGTAACCAAAAGTGGGATAGTTTAGAAATGAAATGATGCAAAATTTGATGTGAAAATCTTGTTTCAGAACCAAAAGAGTAGGACCTGGAACAATAAAAAGGTTTTTGAAGATTAGAAATATTTGGTAAAAGACAGTAAATGATCTGCTTTTCTGTAGGTATAATGGACAGTGGGACCTTGGCCAAGAAGTCCTTGATGACATCATTTATAGAGCTCAGCTAGAACTCTTTTCTCAACCACTACTGGTAAGTTATTATATTTATTCTTTATTAAACACACCTGTGCCTGAACAGGGCACTAGTGGGTAAAAAAATTCAATATGTAATATATGAGGCAATCCAAATCATTGAGGGAAAAAGATTTATTCCACAGTAACAATTGGTTAACTGTTGGAGAGAAAACAAAATTGGTTTAGATCCTCTCCTCCTACCACGTGTCAAAATGAAGTTCGGATAACTTAAAGAACTAAATGTTTTGAAATCCTTTAAGAAAAGAAAGGGGGAAAAGTTATAAATGTTTACTCAAATTTCTGGAGAAGGGAGGACTTTCTAAGCTTAAGTGATAGGACAAGTCACTAAAGAAAGATTGATTTTTTTTTTCCCACATAAACATCTAAATCCTAAACCATTAGTTTTTTAAAAACAAAATTAATATGCAGTGCACAAACTGAGAAAAATATCCTCAACAGTCATGACAAGAAAGTCCATTAATATTTTGTTCTATATAAAAAGATTTCATACTCTTCCACAAAATAAATACACAGTTATGCACCACATAACGATGTTTCAGTCAACAACAGACGGCGTATACAACGGTGGTCCCATGAGGTTAGTACATATAGCCCAGGTGTGTAGTAGGCTATACCATCTAGGTTTGTGTAAGTTCACTCTGTGATGTTCACACAACAGTGAAATTGCCTGACGACACCTGTCAGAACATATCCCCATTGTTAAGCAATGAATGACTATCTCTAAAAGGTAAATGATTAATCAAAAAAGAAATCAAGTAGTGGAGTAAGGAAGACATTCTTTATGTTACCAGTAGCAGTATAACACAACTTTGAACATCTCTTGCAGAAATGCTTTGGTAATGTGTGTGTGTTTTCTTTGACCCACTATCCCATGTCTAGCAACATATCCTAGGAAACTACTTAAAATTTCTTTTTAAATGGGTTGTAAGCGCAACGTTAGTGTTATTTTTAATTGCAAAGGAATCAAAACAGTCCAAATGTTCCACAGCAGAGAATGATTAAGTTATATGATATTTACTTGATGGACTTATATATTTGAGATTTTATATTAAAGAAAATTGCTAGCTTGTGATAAGTGGTAAAGCAGTATAGAACTATTTTTTTAATCTAGATATAACAGAGGAAACATACAAAATGCTAATCATTGTCTAGGTGATTTGACTGGGTGTATTTTATTTCTTTGCGATTGTCTGTGTTTTCTAGGCTTTTTGTAGTACTTTTGTAATGGTATTTTTAATATATTACTTATGTATTTTTCACTTGCCATACTTATTACAATTTTTTTTTTGAGGAAGATTGGCCCTGCACTAACATCTGTTGCCAATCTTCCTCTTTTTCTTTTTTCTTCTCAAAGCCCCTGTACATAGTTGTGTATCATAGTTGTAGAGTTGTGGCTTCTCTATGTGGGATGCCACCTCAGCATGGCTTGATGAGCAGTGAGTAGGTCTGCGCCCAGAATCCAAACCGGCGAACCCCGGGCTGCCGAAGCAGAACACACAAAATTAACCGCTATGCCACCAGGCCAGGCCCTGAGAGTACAATTTTTTTTAAAGCCATTTTCTTGATAGCATTTTTTAATATTTTAAGCTAACTATAAATTTATTGAGGTAGCATTTACAATAATTCTTTGATATTCACTTTTTTCACGTCAGCATCCCTAATTTTACTCTAAGGGTTACATTAAAACAAATGGATAACAAGATTTTTTTAATTACAACAGAATAATAATAGCTTGCATTTGACTCTTTAAATTCATCCTTTTTTCCTTGTCTTATAAATTAAGTAGAGGTGGCATTTCCAAGGCAATATAGATAAAGAGATTAATATTCTCTAGTGCTAGAATAATCCTTTGTTGTTAGGGGTCTCTGAGGAACCCAATAAATAACACTTCTCTATTCAAATCTAGAGCCAGGTGATAAATAGATAAAATGCTTGGCAGGTAGAGAAACTAGCACCATCTTTATCACTGATAAAGGCTAAATTGAGAGACTTAACTCCCCACCCCTCAGTCTAGACTCTGGGACAGCCCACTGGAGAGAAGGTTTGAGTTGGCAGAGCAGGCACACTTACCCAGGTTGCTGCATTCCACTTGTCCTTGTCCAAGTGGAGGGAAAGGGAGAGAGAATCTTTGAGCTTAAATCTTTGCTAGATTAGCACTACCCGGTTAAGAAACATGGACCAATCAGTGGCAGTTACTCTCCAACCAGATATTTCACTCTCCTCCGTGGAGGGCAGAAAGTGGTGGGACAAAATGCCAGATGTGTTTAGGGAAAATTTCTCCTCGTGGAAACAAAGACGTAGAGAAAAAGGACTAAAGATTTCTTTTTGTTCAGTCAGAGGTTAAATTTTGCATGTTATTTATCATCTGAAGAATCAGAAACTTAGTCTAAATTTTCTTATATCAGTTCAAATGTTACACAGTTTTTCTTCCTTTGGAATATTTGTTCTCTTTGCAAGTCAGAAACTTCAAAGAATCCATAGGATGTGTGACTCACATTTTTAAAATGTGGTAAATTCTCATTTAAAAAGCCCACCTAGGGGCCGGCCCCCCGGCTTAGTGGTTCAGTGCGCACGCTCTGCTACTGGCGGCCTGGGTTCGGATCCCGGGTGCGCACCGACGCACCGCTTGTCCGGCCATGCTGAGGCCGCGTCCCACATACAGCAACTAGAAGGATGTGCAACTATGACATACAACTATCTACTGGGGCTTTGGGGAGAAAAAGGAGGAGGATTGGCAATAGATGTTAGCTCAGGACTGGTCTTCCTCAGCAAAAAGAGGAGGATTGGCATGGATGTTAGCTCAGGGCTGCTCTTCCTCACAAAAAATTAATTAATTAATTAATTAAATTAAGTAATTAATTAATTAAAAAAAAAAAAGGCTGCCTAGGGGGCTGGCCTGGTGGCGCAAGCAGTTAAGTGCTCGTGGTCCTCTGCGGCAGCCTGGGGTTTGCCGGTTTGGATCCTGGGCACGCACTGACAGACCACTTGTCAACCCATGCTGTGGCGGCGTCCCATATAAAGTGGAGGAAGATGGGCATGGATGTTAGCCCAGGGCTGGTCTTCCTCAGCAAAAAAAAAGAGGAGGATTGGCAGATGTTAGCACAGGGCCGATCTTCCTCACCAAAAAAAAAAAATGCCTGCCTAAAAGAATACAGAACTATGGAGATACAAACATTTGTTACACATTGTACTTTTATATGTTGTAGTACAAGTTTTAAATACATATTCAAAAAATGATGGAAACATGAAGTGTAGAATAAGCATAAATTGTATATTAGGTATAAATATGTATAGACTTATATTATCATTTTAGGTTGCCAATGCCATGAAAAACTCATTACCATTTGATGCTCCCGATTCTTCACAAGAAGGCCAGAAAGTACTTAAAGTGGAAGTCACTCCAACAGTGCCGAGGATTTCTCGGACTGCAATTACAACAGCTTCAATCCGTCGCCATAGATGGAGGAGAGAAGGTGAGTACAGAATGCCTATTGTTCACTCATGGATTCAAGTAAATTTATCACTGTTTTTACAGACTATATTTAACACGTGATATTATAGTACGCTATGTAATTAAAATTGTTTAGTTTTTAAAAATAGCACTAAAAATGTGGTTTAAGTGCCTGAATTTATTTTAATATAAATATCTGTATTTTTTTTATAAAGTAGATTTTATTTAGACTGCTTTATGAATGTTCAAATAGAAAATAAGACCAAGTTAGTTTTTGTCTTTTTTTGAACTAGTAATAACAATAGGAAAGAAGTTTCTTTAGGCCTCTTACCATGCTGGAAAAAAAAGGTGCATGTATGAGCATTGTGGGAGAAAATTATATAAATGGCCAAACTAATGGTGTAATACAAGCTATCTAAAATAATTGATTATTGTTTTGATTATTGTTTTTAAAATTTTTATCTTTGCTTTTCTTTTTTTTTATAAGTGCTGGATCCAGCAGCATTTCACAGGCATATAGTACTTGAATAGTCAAGCTGTCTTGCCTAAGAAATTAATTGCCATTTTAATTATCCCTATTTTTCTGTCCTATTCATTTGCAAACCTCACATTGTTCATCTGCTGCCTTATGTGTGTGCATGCTGTGCACACACATGTAACTATATAAATAGCATTTGTGTTTATATCATATCCGCATATATACATTCTCTTATCTGCCTGGGTCAAATGCTCAGAAAAGAATAGAGCAGCGCAAAAGCACTAAAATTTTATATGTTGAATCCCAGATGGCTTTGACTTCTCAAACGAGGCTGACTCGAGTATTCCTGGCTCCCCGATCCAACACGGCTCCACTGACCTAGGGATCAAACGTGTGCAAGAGGGGGAGGTGCTGGTGCGCAGGACCCCTGAGCATGGCTCACCGGAGCCCAACTCAGCAGCAGCCACAACAGAGGGTAGGACAGAGATGAGGAGGCAGAAGTCAGTGAGGCAGTTGCTGGAGAAGGATCCTGGCTCTCTATCCCCAAGCAGAACATCTTTCCATTCTAGTGTGTGTTACCACTACCCCAGGGTGTATTAGCTCCTCCTTGCAAAGCGTACCCCTCCCACCCACTGCCAATATGCCTAGCACCAGGTCAGGTACAATCTTTAGTTACCATTTGTGCTGGCCTGGAGTCTGCATCCCTGTGTAATCAAAGAACAGCTTGGCATGGCTACTAACAAGGCAGAGGCCTGTCTCCAACAGGTCTGCAAATGCTTGGGATTTTTCATTACTGAGCATGTTTATTCTAACATTAGGAAAGGAAAGAAGAATGCACCCAATGGACATGAGCCTTATCAGCCAATGTGAATTGATTTCATTTATATATTAATTTATTCTTTACAAATATATGAGGGGAGTTTTAAAACATTAATACATTATTTTTGAGAAATTGGACTAAAGTGGAGCTGGTCGATATATCTCTAATCCTAGGGTGGTCAATTAACGAGAATTTCTTATCTCTTTGACAGAATAAAACGGTATTGATTGTGTTTTTATAACCTTTGGGTCAAGTTGCCTGGATCTAACTAGTGAACTGCTGACATTGTTCCTCTATAAATGGTCTATCCTGGGGCACACTACATTTTATCATCTATTGTAAATAATGATGATTGTCTTATATAGCTCCCAAACAGAATTGAAATGTATTATTTAGAGGTCAAGTATCCTAGTAGATCTTTGTTTCTACAACGCTGGTATCTCAAAATGCAAATTTTTTTTTACACTCCGCCGCCA